GTTTGGAGGATAAAGGACTCAAATCTGAGGGCGCAAATCTATTCTGTTGCGTGCAGAGCCGCTAGCTTAGCTACTCTTGCTTCACTACACCAGAGACGTTATAGAGGAGGAAACCCCTCACTGGTTGAAATGTGAATGAAGAAGCCCATAACGCTTAACATGCTGTCTGTTTGCAAAGACATGCTGCCTTCATGTGCTAGTCAGAAGATTCTACTTCCCACTTGTGAAGTCAGAATTGAGAGTATGTCATGTCTACTGGACCCCAGGAAGAATAGCAGCTATCACAATAGCAGCTAATGGGGATCCTAAAAATAAACAAAAAAATTAAACAAAATAGTCAAGTGCTTTGTTATCGGAGTGAAATGAAAAAGGTGAGGTTCATTCTCACCTGCTTTTTGGGGAAATCCTATTTTGATTCTATGATGCGCATGGAAAAAGAAAAGAAGGAGGATGCAGCAAGTTAAATGCACATAGATTACAGATTGAAATAATGTGCACAAAAAAAACATTCATAATGGTCGCACTGTTAAAAATAAAGAATTACATAACATCCAATAGTGAACCTGTCCTCTTGTCCGCCACGTTGAAAGGTCGCAGGTCAACTCAACTAAGGAACTCGGGTATCAAAGTTATCTCCTTCCTCGTCTTCCTAGTCTTCCTATTAGAAATTATCACTGGAAGTGTGCCACTTCCAAGTCGGGAACTCGTATGTACCATAATTCCGATAGCATGTGAAGGCAACAAACGTCCCGCTCGTCAAGAGATCTGTGGAGATCTCCACAAGCACAGCAGCCAGAACAACCTGAAAAAACATGTTTTTTGCGCATTGTTGAGCCAAACACTACAAACTATTTATGACATTTTTGTCAGATTTTACCAGTAATTTCAAATGGCCTAAGTTTTTAAACAGTAATTGAGTTCAGGTTTGAGTATATTGGTCTCTCCCCATTCAAAGGCTGGAAATAACTGCCCAGTAGCATTGCAGACAAGACTTTTCTGTAAAGACTTTGACTATACTGTCCTCATAAGCACTAGAAGCTAGCATTAACTTAGCTAGCAGGCTAAAACACTTTCGCACATCACAAGTTGACACAAGTTTAAAGGATAAAGACTCACAACTGAGTGAGTGAAGTAGAACGACTGGTGTTTGAGTGACAGAAAGACAGATTATAACCCATTCTGTTGTGTGTGTTTTAGTCTGTTAAGCTAGCATTAGCATAATCAGCTCCACTGTGCGCTCTTCAGCAATGTTGTCAAACGTTGTAGTTTAGAGATTTGTAATGCTGCGGTTTAAATAGATGGTGTTTATTCGTATTTGGACTTCTAAATGACCTCATATCGCAGAGGATCCAGTGATACTCAGGGAACATCAGGGTACATAAGACAAAACATATCAGCTTTGGAAAAAAGCTTGCAAGTTTATTTCTGATTATTAAAATTACAGCAGGATCTTATTTTAGTTTCTAATCTGCTCAATCCCTGTAACCTCTGAAGTTGTGTTGTCATTCTGTAGATGCCAGCATGCCCATTTTAGGAACTTTGGGTCTAAGTTGGTGTTTCTCTATAAGAAAAATGAATGGGATTTTCAAATAGTGCCACTGTCATCCCTTGAGGTAAGCTAAAACATTCCAAAGCCGGGACATTTGCAGTATGAATGTTATTTCTCTGAATGTCACCAGATCCTCTGAATTATGAGCCTATTAAGGAGCTGAAATCAAGCGACCACTGAAACGATCATAAGACTGGTAACCTCACCAAAATACCCCAAACAAGTCAGAATGCTTTGCCAAATGTTGTAAATTAGAGATTTGTAATCCTGCGGTTTAAATAGTTGGTGTTTATTCGTATTTGGACTCAATGACCTCATATTGCAGATTATCCAGTGACACTCAGGGGAAAATCAGGGTGCACAAGACAAAACAAATCAGCTTTGGACACTTTTTGTTTACCACAGGACGCAACAGCAGTTGTTTTTTCGAAAACAGCATTCATTTTTATCATAGAGAAAACTATCTTAGATCTGAAACACCTAATATGGGCTTGACAGCGACTGCAGAATGTGACGCATGGTGCACAAATGACAACAAAGTCTTCTTAAAACAGGCATGTCAAACTCAGGGAAATTCTGGGCCAAAGTGCTGTGGAGATTAGCGTTTACCCTCATCTAATGGTCTGAATTCAGTTCAGTAAAGGCCTTGCTAATTAGCTGATGAGCTGAATCAGGTGTGTTTAATGACGCAGTGTGCTGAGTTCTGCAGTGTTTTGGCCCACGAGGACTGGAGCCTGACATATGTGTCTTAAAGCATAGAGTGCAGAGTAGTCAGTGTAAAATGTGGGGTGTTTACAAATAAGAATACAAGACTTTGCATTCTTAATAAGTTTATTCAACATTGATTACTTTCTTAAGATTTAAATTATGACTTTCGGGGGAACTTTAATCTGAGGTGGGTGAGGGCCCCCCAAAACTACTACATTTACTGAGTTATTTACTTAAGTTAATAGATTTATACTTTTCAAATGCTGCCTCTATTTACTCAAGAGAAAGAATCTTTTACGTTCCTTTTAAGTCCATTACATTCTGGCACCTTCTCACTTGTACCTCTTACTCTGGAGCTTTATCATTTGGTTTTAGACCAAGAGGATCCCAAAAGGAGAAGAAAAGCTGTGTTAATGATGGATGTAGGCTACTAAGACAGTCCACTGCAGTTTAATAGGGAGTACTTGTACTTTTTAAACTGGATACCTTCTCACTCTTTCTCAAGTTGGTTTTTGGTAGCCACTTTAACTTCAGCTTAAATTATTTTTTAATTCAAGTAACCATATTATGTGGTTCCAGATTATGATACCATTACGTTTACTCTGCCCACTCCTGTTTGAATGACCTTAAATACAACCCCATTTCCCCAAAACAGTTAGGGAATGGTATAAAAAAGAGCATCCCAGAGAGGCTGAGTCTTTCAGAAGTAAAGATGAGGAGGGGTTCATCACTCTGTGAAAGACTACGCGAGCAAATAGTGCAACAAGTCAAGAATAATGTTTCTCAATGTAAAATAGTAAAGAACTTTTGCTTTTCATCATCTACAGTATATAATATCATTAAAAGATTCAGAGAATCTGGAGAAATCTCTGTGTGCGAGAGACAAGCCCAAAAACCAGTATTTTCTTGCCATGATCTTTGGGCCCTTGGCCAGCACTACATTAAAAACAGACATGATTCTGTAGTGGAAATCACTGCATGGGCTCAGAAACACTTATGAAAAACACTGTCAATGAAAACAGTTCATTGCTGCATCCACAAATGTAAGTTAAAACTGTAAAACGCAAAGAAGAAACTGTACATAAACAGGATCCTGAGACGCCGCCACCTTCTCTGGGCCCGAGCTCATTAAAATGAAGGTGAAGTGGAAAAGTGTCCCTGTGGTCCGACGAAATCAACAATTGAAATTATTTTTAGATAAAGAAATTAAGAAACCACTCATGGCATGGGTGACATGCACATCTGTGAAGACGCCATTAATGCTTAACGATATATATATGTTTTGGCAACATATGCTGCCATCCAGATGACGTCTTTTTCAGGGAAGGCAAGCAAGCAAGCAAGCAAAGTTTATTTACAACAGGTGTTGTCACAAAGCAGCTTTACAAAAAAAATATATATATATATCAGCATTACAGAAAGAAATCCGGGTCCATGCCCCCATGAGCAAGCCAGTGGCAACAGTGGCAAGGAAAAACTCCCTAAGAAACAGGAAAAAACCTTGAGAGGAACCAAGACTCAGAAGGGGAACCCATCCTCCTCTGGTCAAGGCCTTGCTTATTTCAGCAAGACAATGTCAAACCACATTCTGCATGTATTACAACAGCATGGCCCCGTAGTAAAAGAGTCCGGGTGCTAAACTGGCCTGCCTGCAGTCCAGACTTGTCACCACTGATAACATTTGGCGCATTAGGAAATGAAAAATATGACAAAAGAGACCCCAAACTGTTGATCAACTGAAATCCTATATCAAACAAGAAAGGGAAAACATTTCACTTTCAAAACTACAGCAGTGTCTCCTCAGGTCCAAAACGCTTACAGAGTGTTGTTAAAAGAAGAGGTGATGAAACACAGTGGTAAACATGTCCCCATCCCAACTTTTTTGGAATGTGTTGTTGGCATCAAATTCAAAATTGGCATATATTTTTCAAAAAAGAAAAATTTCTCAGTTTCAACATTTGATATGTTGTCTTTGTAGTACTTTCCTTTAAAAATATGGTTTACATGATTTACATATTATTGCATCCTATTTGTATTAACAGTCTGCACAGTCTCCCAACTTTTTTGGAAATGGGGTTGTAGAAGTAATCTGTCTGTGCTGTGGGGCAACACGAAGGAAAAACTTATCAAAGGTCTAACACTGATATTGATCAGTCTGGTGGCAGATCACAACCTCCAGACCCTGGGGATGGTCATGTGTGTAATCCTTTTGTGCTCCTGAGATATCTACACTGACAGCAGCTGAGTCCAACAATTTAGAACACACTGTTCCCCTGCAAGCTACCACAAGGCGATGTGTTCTGCTAAAGGAGACATATTTGCGGGGGAAATGGCTTATTGTTTGTCATGATTTGATTTCTCTCAGGAAAAAGGCCACAGCAAATAGTGAAGAGAAAAAATGTAATGTAGCTGGCCGACGTGAGAACAGTTATACTAAGTGTGCCTTATTTCATTTCAAGGTGGATATAATTCTAACAATTTTTAAATTAGAGTACACAAGTTCCCCCCAAACATCATCGATCGGCCAAGTTGGCACCTTTACTTTGTGCTTTTTTCACAGAAGTTACAAACCTGAGCCCATTAAGAGTTTCTGTTGGTTCAGTGTCCAGTAGTCCCAAATGGCATTGTGTGTTTTCTTGATTGATTAATAATCAGTGTAAACGATTCTAATGGTTTAACAGGTGTTCTAAGGCTGATTCCAGATGAATTTGGTGGTTTCCTAATGGGATCTAAAGGTGTCCTACAGGAAACTAGTGGTCTCTGCTTGGTAACCGCTAAGCCAGTTCCCCTTAGAAAGCAATCGGGTTTTAATCCTAATGGTTCTGATAGTCATTTTTAGCAGGGAAGACAAGTAATGGAAGTCTATGTCATCTAAAATCTTGTCAGTGCCACAGACTTGTGTTGTATTAGCCTCATAGCTCCAGTGCAACACTAAAGAAGCAGACTTCAGACACCAAGCATGTCTTGGCTGATCAGCTGAGTTTGGGGTAAGGGGAAAATTGTGTAAAGTGGGTTTCGCAGTGAACCTTAGCTTTAAACACCCCCCAGCCTGACACCATTCATCTTTAGCCCAGTGGTCTAACCCAAGCATCTTTCTATCTCTTTAGCACAGTTTCGTTAAATCACACTATTTATAAGACATGTAAATCATTGTTTTGAGCCCTCAGGCGACTTTGGGCCTAATTTTCATTCATTTTAGGCCCTCATGGCTGCTTTTCTATACATACGCTCTATATTACAGACCTAACTGAGGAAATCCTGGTCATAAAAAGTCCTACAGCGCCCTCTAACGTTCAGTGGAGTCTATTGCTATGAGCTGTTCAAAGAACCTAATTCACAATCAGCTGAGGTTCATCAACCGTCGAGCACGGTTCAGCCTACAGTCACAGTCAGCGTTTGGGTGCTTGAGTTTGTCTCATTTTTCAGTAAGTTAAAAGAAAATATATGCAAATTCTACAAGTCTAATGAGTCAGTTCATAGGGGTAATTATTATTTTAAGAGGTTAGCTACAAATACTGCTAAACTTCCCTGCTGAATTTTATACAGGCCACGTTTAGCTTTAACCAGTGAATATAACATTAGTGACTCCTGTAGCCTCGAGTTAACGAACTTCTCTCTTTCAACAGAATAAAACACTTTCTTAACCAGAGGTAAGTACTGACATTCACTCGAGTTAGATGTGTTTAAGTTGACTGGTTTAACTGTTCAACTTAGCAAGGAAATAAATCTAGTTTCCATTCAGTTCTCTTTGAGTTATTCGCGTTTATTTTGGGCCTAAAATAACCCAAAACAAAGAGATTAGCTAACTAGGTTAGCAACTTCAGTTTCTGAGCTAATGCTGGATGTTGCACATTCAAAAATATTTCTTTTCAGGGGTTCCTTATTAAAGGTTATGGTTCTATATAGCATAATGAGTTCTGTATAGAACCATTTCATGCTTGAAGGGTTCTTTGCATGGTGAAATGGTTCTTCAGATTGGTGGAGAATGTGTTGTGTATGGTTCTATATAAAACCTTTTTGAAAATGGTTCTATATAGCACCAAAGAGGGTTCTGATAATGTTGTGATGTCAAGCTTGTAACAATAGAAGAACCCATTTTAGTGCTATATAGAGCCATTTTCAAAAAGGTTCTGTATAGAACCATATACAACACATTCTCCATCAGTCTAAAGAACCATTCAAGCAGGGAATGGTTTTATAAAGAACTCGGAAACATTGCCTTTACTAAAGAACCCTTGAAGAACCGTCTTTTTTCGATAGTGTAGTAAGGGTTCCCCTCTTTTCCTATTCACGTTCATCTCTTACATTTTGGTGCTTCTTTTCTTTGTACTTGATTCGTTATTGAAGTGAAGCAAAACATGAATGTGGCTTTAGGCTACTCTACCCACCTCTGTTCATGACCTGTGACTAGCAAACATCTCTCGTCTTCCTTTCGCTTGTCTAGCCTGAGGGGGCTGTCTGAAATGACCACCTGTGTCGATGAAGATGTTTCCATAGCTTCGGTCAGCCTGTCAGAGTTAACCAGCTCTTCATCGATTTCTGACAGAGTCTGTGTTCACTGGGGTAGGGCCTGCCTCCTTTTGTATTCCCTGTATTCCTGTCTCTCTCAGAATAGCTCTCTGTCAGCCATATGGTTTGTCACTGTTTACATGTTTTTCCTTTTGTGCTGTGACCGGCCTGCCAGGATGTGAGCTCAGTGCTGCCCAGAGCACGGCTGTGTTTGAGGTAGAGGACGATCTTCTGGAGAACCAGTTCTTCATCAAAACAGTAAGATCACTCACTCATGACTAATGGATGAATCCCTGGGCTCAAGCTAGAAAAGAGCCAGACCTGACTTGAGGCAACTGGAATGACAGATGAGGCTGGCTTGCGTGATATTTTTGTTTTTTATTTATTTTATTTATTCTTTTTTTGTGAAACAAAAGCTAATTCTTATTATTTTGAAAGATATTATAATTATTAAAAGTTGGAGTATGCATTTCAATGAGCAGTGCAATCTGTGAAAATGTTCTGCCAAGTGAATTTCAGACAGGGATTTTTAGAACGATGTAGTCCAGTGGATTCATTTTGGACTATTATGGGCCATCAGTGTGATTAAATATGCAGTCCTAACATGCTAATTTGCAGTATCGGAACTGATCAACAACCCAGATAAGGCCTGTCCCAGAATCTTGCACAGCTGATGAATGAATTGGATATGGTTGCCCTTCTGTGCCTTGATTAACAGAACTAATTAGGTTAATCAATCAACCTTGAACTTTTCAAGAAAACGTAAGGCACTGGAAAGGGCCCTGTCTAAGGTGTTTAACAGTTAAGGGCTGTGGATTACATGTGCGTTCAAGCAGGAGAGCGTAAAGCAGCAAGTTCTTGCAAATGAAGCAAGTGCTGTTCACATTACTTTCCCCTGTCTCTGACATTCAGCCTGCCTGGGTAGATTGTTAGTTTATTGATTGTGAGTCAGGGCTGCACATTTGTTACCCGTTATTGTGATTTTGTCCTTAGCAATACTGATATCGCAAAAGGCTGCAATATGCAAATGAGCTCTGACTTGTCACAGTGTTTGTTACTTTGTGCTGAGGGATTCCTCACCAATCCCAGTTCCAGAATAGTTTCTGTGGCTGCTTTTGATAAATCAAAATAATTATGTAATTCAACAAAAAGAAATTTATTTGGTCAAATTAAAGGGGAATTCCACCTATATTTTGAAATATCTGAATAATTAAATCATTTAAGATGTAAACAAAGTCATTCGGAGGGGGTTGGTGTCAAATCTTTTGTTCTTCAGAAACTGACAGTCAGAATTGTTCACTCTGGTGGTGATAGGAACCAGACGTCAGAAGAGTTCAGTGCCTTTAAGCTCCCTCTCAGAGAGTGATTATATAAAATGGTTATGAATGCGCTGGCTAATGCCTGAGATACTGTGTTATGATTGTTCTACAATACATTTGAGGCCTAAAATGCAATTTTTAAGAATATTTCATTGCAGAGAGGCACATGCAGGGCCTTGTAAGGCAAAATAGTCAAAATAGAAAACTTGTTTTCAGATTTGCTGATGTCATCAACATTACATATTAAAACCCAGAAGACACATGTAGGTTTATGGGACATTTTGTTTAGTAAATAAAATGGCTATCTTTGCACTGTAGACATCACAACCTCTGATTCCCATCACATCAAACCACTCTGAATGACATTGTTTACATTTCACCGATTAAATTAGGCAGAAAATTTGAAAAATTGGTGCAGGCCAGTCTTTAACCACATCACATTATTGATTCACAAGTACATTTTTGCAGTTACAATATGTAGTAGTGTAGCAAAGGAATGACAGTAGTACTGATTTGTCCATACCCTATAGCTCTAGCGTGTGCAGTGTTCAGTAACTGTGACTAAACTGGACCTTGAGGATGCATATTGTGGTCTTTTCAATGGCAGCAGGCCTCTCTTTCCCTATTCCTATGCAGTAGGTTGCTTTCAGCATCACGCAAGCCGAGTTGCACGGCCGGCAGTTTTAGATTCACTTACGCAGGCGTGGCATGCACCAGCCTGGTGGTGCTTAAAAGGCAAGAGAGCTTTGACAGATGCCTCGTCTGAGTTCAGGGATGATAAATGGTGTATGTATTTCATTTCGCTTTTTGCCTGCTCCTTGTGCAGATATGCCTGAGCGCGGAGGCGGGCGACGAGATGCATGTAGTAGCCGTATCTGACGGCGTCGGCGGCTCCAAGCCCATACCGATTGCCACCCTGCGTCACTGTATGCCCATGGTGAGTCATACTTTTGAATAGATCTGATTGCAAATGCATTAGCTAAAGCAAAGTTCATTTTCATTGTAAAGCGCACCCTTTGCTGACAGTGGTGTTAAAATGCGCACAGTTGTATAATCACCATAGAAAAGCTCTGTCAATAGAATGGGATGCTCAGAAGCAGCCATGCATAAGCCTAACATAACTATGCAGAGTGCCAGGCATCAAGTAGCGAGGTTTAAAGCTTACCAGCACTGGGCTGTGGAACAGTGGAACTGTGTTTGTTGTTTGAAGTGATGAAGCTCCATCCTTTGGGATGAGCTAGAGCGGTGTGTGTGATCCAGAACTAATCATTCGACATCAGTGCCTGACCTCACTAATGCTCAGCGTAGACACTGTCACTGCAGAGTTCCCTCCGGTTCGCTGAGCTACGTCCGGAGCTGCTGTAAAACACTTAACGAAGACCAGTGTTTCTCAGCCCTGGTCCTGAAGGCCAAACCAATCAGCTCATTAAAACAGCCCATTATTGATTTAAAGTGGCAGAAAAAAGCTCTAAAATGTGTAGGGCTGTGGGCCTCCAGGACCAGGGTTGAGAAACATTGACGTAGACACACATGACCTCATGCATCATTATGTATTATTACATCAAGTTATTGCAAACCATTGTGCTTATGCCTGTGAATTACTACATAATCACAATTAGATCCGATTGCAATTATTTTCCACAATTGTTAGCTGTCACAATTATATACTTGCGTCACGAAACAACAGAATTTGATTTGTGTATTCACCCCTTGGGTTTATATGGGAGGCAAATCCAGCCAAAAAAGAAATTAAAATGAAAGCAATAAAATGTAAATGCAAACCTCTTTTTGCCATTTCTTTTTCCAAACATCTGTGCAAATAGCCTGCCAAAATTTAAAATGAAATGAAATACCTTCATTTGCAATTTCATTTTTCACCTGAGCATGGGCCATTTGTGTCAAAAATAAAAATAATTGTAAAACAGCTGTTTGTCATTTCATTTTAGTCATTATTCTGGTTTTTCATGGCCAAATCTAAAATGAAAAAGCTATTAGAGAAAAAAGAAGAAGCTTCACTTTGGCTTTGGCTTTTCTCCATGAAATGCAGAATACGAGTCAAAACTAAAATCAAAATGCAGCGTTTACGTTCTTATTTCTTTTTCACAGCAATCGGCTGCATATCTGACAAAATTAAAATGGAAATGCAAAACTGATAAATCAACAGCAAAGTGACTTTGTGATTCAGATTTCGGCACGGACGCGCTTTAAGTGTCAGAATGAAAAGGCAAATGCAAACGAACATCAGCGCCACCTGCTGGACATTACTTTACATTTTCCACTTTTCGATTTTGTTTTCAAACTGACCAACATGCAAATATATGTTAATTAGCACTAGGCGGGGCTACGGGGTACATTTTAGGACATCCTCAGACCTCCGAGTCAGAGCGGCATCATTCCTCAAGCTAAACGACTTCGAGTCTCGAGAAAAACCATCATCATGACTCAGATCTGGTGAAACTGAACGTCAGAACAAACACCGTCAGAAAAACTGGAAATGTTATACTGGCATTTATATCGAGATACATAATAGTTTGTTATATGAACCACTATAAGCTCAACCAGACTTGCATTTGGTCTGATACCTTTTCTCTGAGGCCGTTTGGTCTGACGTTCAGTTTCACCAGATCTGAGTCATGACAAAGGTTTTTTTTCGAGACTCGAAGTTGTTTAGCTTGAGGAATGATGCCGCTCTGACTCGGAGGTCTGAGGATGTCCTAAAATGTACCCCGTAGCCCCGCCTAGTGCTAATTAACATATATTTGCATGTTGGTCAGTTTGAAAACGAAATCAAAAAGTGGAAAATGTAAAGTAAACCGTCACTTTGCTGTTGATTTATCCATTTTGCATTTTCATTTTCATTTTGTCAGATATGCAGCCGATTGCTGTGAAAAAGAAATAAGAACGTGCATTTTGATTTTAGTTTTGACTCGTATTCTGCATTTCATAAAGAAAAGCCAAAGCGAAGCTTGGATTTTCTTTTCTCTATTAGCTTTTTCGTTTTAGATTTGGCCATGAAAAACCAGAATAACGACTAAAATGAAATGACAAATAGCTGTTTTAAATTTATTTTTATTTTTGTCACAAATGGCCTGTGCTCTTGTGAAAATGAAATTGCAAATGAAGGTATTTCATTTCATTTTAAATTTTGGCAGGATATTTGCACAGATGTTTGGAAAAAGAAATGGCAAAAAGAGGTTTGCATTTACATTTTGTTTTCATTTTAATTTCTTTTTTAAAAAGCATTTATTGAAACGTGGCATTATTTTTTTTTCTTACAAAATTACCGAAGGTTCTAGCTTCCGACTGGTGCTATAAAACATGCAGAAGGCACAAGTGAGCAGAGGAGTATTTATATTTTTGTAACAACACTAAGAATCACAACTCTGTGGCACTGAAGTTGTGATTGGGTGGAATATTTCATGAAAACTGGGTGCCATGCTTTCTGTTCTCAAGGTTAGACCTTCTAAGCAGAATTTTTTAACAGTAAATTGCATTGTGTTTCTGTAAATATGGCAAAAAATATAATGAAAGAAACTTTTCTGTGCAGTGAATGAAGAATGGAGAGGATAACAAGCTCACATATTTGCACACAGTCATATGTAAAAGTTCACATTACGCACTTTGTTGATTTTCTAAATAAAAAGTTAACACATCCTCTACAGGGAACTCACTTAAATATGGCTTTTTCTGATTTTTGCAAACATCAACACGATAGTCAAATTCATCCCATACTCGATTGAGCATGTCGGGTGTCGCTGCCCTCACGGCTCTTTCAATGCGACTTTGGAGATCAGTGTTGTGGAACCAACAACGAACGCTCTGAGCTGTTGGAGGTTCATTGTCGACAAAAATTACTCCTCACAGTTATGACAGATCCACTCTTATTAAAGTGGAGAACACAAAACGCTTTCTGCTCAGGGGTTGCATCTCCTTGCAGACTGAAGGGAGCCATTTTCTGGTAACAGTCAGAAACTCTATGACCCCATCTTTCAGTTGGTATGTGATTGGTTTCTAGGAACCTCACGGTTGTAAAAATATGGTGCTTTGAAATCGGATTAATCTTTTTAAATCACCCTGTGTGTGTGTGTGTGTGTGTGTGTGTATATATATATACCTTTAGTAATATTTGAGATGGAACTTCAATGACTGTCTATAACGACATAACAAAATATTTGGTCCTACCAATAATATAGTTTAAAACTTATGTTTTTCACTTATTATTTGCATTAATTTGCCATACTCTGTGTGTTAAGGATGAACTTGAATTTTTAAGTAATATGTTTGTTTATAAGCTTAAAGACACTTAGCACTTTGTCCCTTATACGTTGCATTGGATTGGAATGGCTCTTGTGGGTTTTTTTTGATGTATTAATTCTCTTTTGATAGTGTTGGTTCAAAAAGCCAAAAAGTGGACATTATTGAAGCACAGACTTGATCAAACATGTACACAATGCTTTTTCAGGTCAGTTTCCCTGGCTTGGAGCTCATGCCTCCTGTTACCTTCCAGCTTTGTTCAGGCAAAGGACCAGTATTCATCTCAGGTCAACACATCACACGTGAGTGTGTGCAACACGTGAGTTCCCATCTGATTATCTATCCCTGATGATTACAAATGATGCCCTTGCCTTTTTTTGTAGTGAATCCTACTGAAATCACAGAGGAAGAGGAGGAAGGGGATCTCAGAGCTGACATCCTGAAAGAATGAAACACGCCGGATCCTCCACCCCATCATCTGTGGTCACTATTGATGAATCTGACAGGCCACGTACACTGACTTAATGAATGACTGACTTGGCTTTGTTTTGTTTATTTACCTGATTGGATTTGTGGGTTTGGAGATTATATTTATGTGATGGTTTACTTAAATTATTGTGCCTGTATGAATGTGGTTGAATACAGTATCCCAGTGAGCAGAATTTGTCCAGATAGATGTATTTGTTTAGACTTCAAGGGGAAGATCAGATGCACAAAATATGTCAGGGGGAAACAATCCAATACTGCTTGTCTAAACAAAAGTTCTGCAGTATATTTATGCAGCAGGATTCAGATTTGTCTCTTTTCTTTTTCAGCAGATCAGATTCAGATGGCAAGCTTGCGGTCGAGTAATCGTTTACAGAAATGAATGTGGTGCAAATGAGAACCTTACAAAGCTGATTTCATGTGACTTTTTGTTGTTTGGATTTCAGTGAACAGTTAGAATATGTGAGAAGAATCAGATTTGCCTCGACCTGACAGTTGTGTGATCTGTATTGTTTATACTGTAATTGTGCTGTTTTTCTGTAAAGAAATGCATTCGGGTTCATGTTTTTAATGAAGTAAAATAAAATAATCAAGGTCAGCTAAACTTTTAGATGAGGTTGTAACTCCTAGATTGATAATAAAAGTATTTTAATTTTACCAGTAATTCAGGGCAGAATCTGTTTTGAGTCAGTACTGAGGTGCATGGAGTTCACCGTAATAATCACTCTATACACAATTTAATGAAAAGGCTAATTTATTGAAGTGGGTGTATAAGGCACACTATATCAATATTTTGTCAAATGTTATACATTTTGCACAATAACACAACATGAAAGGGCTTGATTACAGCAGTAATAGCAGAGCCGGTTTGAGGTTGGCCTGGCCACTTCCTATTTCTCCCATTATTTCAGAAACATACTAATAATAATAAAAATAATAATTACAACAATAATTATAATCTTTATGTAGCACTTTTCATGCCAGCGGCAGCTCAAAGTGGTTCACAGACAGATGATAAATCTTAACAGTAATACAAGAAATTGAGTGCTAATTTAAAATCATATATTTAATGACTGCAAAATGCCAGAGAGCGCCGAGAGCGAGCCCTCAATGAATGGGACTGAGTGGAGATAAACAGGTAAAAATGAACATTTAAAATAGTTTCTAACCACTTGTCTGGGACCTCTATTTAATTCAGAAAAAAGAAAGATTTCACTAAAAGCAAAAACAAAAAAACTAAAATTCCTTATTTCTACAGGTTTTTCTAAAGGTTTTTGGCAGTAAGGTGCTAGCATTACTGCTACTGAGTGCTGTCAGAGCCAGTTTATGAGGAGCCTGGCCACTTCCTATTTCCCCCATTACATCAAAAACAGGACTGCTAAACAGCAGAGGGCGTTCGCGAGGAAGTCCTCAAAGAATGGGAGTAAATGGAGCTCAACGGCTAAAAACGAAAAGTTAAAATAGTTTCTAATCACTCACCCAGAACTTTCCTTTAATTTTAGAAAGTAGAAGGATGTATTTCACTAAAAAAAAAAAAAAAATCTTACCTGTATGTTTCCTTTTTTCTACAGCAAATGGGTTTTGGGCAGCAGGAGGCAGGCATTACTGCTAGAGCGTGATGATTGGTTGGCGAGCGGAGCAGCTCATTGGCTGTTCTTGCTCAGTCATGGACGTACATGAGGCACCGTTTTAAACTCCTATAGCTCGAGTTTAAAAGCTCTTAAAAATATAACAGCAGTGTTAAAATGTTTTATGCTGTTCAGTGTTCAGGAAATGATTGCATTCTTTTACATTAAAAATGTTTAAGCATTTATAAACTATGATTTTGCTCATACGCTCCATATCAACCTATTCATTTTGGACTCGCTCGGGAGCGCCCTCTAGCGTTCGAGAAAACTGGAAGACATTGCAGAGTGGGAATTCTCATCTCTACAAGTTCTCTGGTGCTGATTGGTTAGCACTACTGCTACTGAGTGCTGATTGGTTTGCACTACCGCTACTGCGTTCTGGTTGGTTGGTGAACGGAGCTGTTTATTGGCCGAGTAGTAAAGGTTCGAGCTCACTGACGTCATGAATGTACATGAAGCACCGTCAGTCTTGTAACTGAGTTCAGAAGTGCTCAAAAATAAAACATTGGTGTTAAAATGTTTTACACTGTCCTGGGTTCAGCAAAATGAATTCATTCTACTATATTAAAATGTTTAAGCGTTTATAAATTATGATTTTGCTCAAATGCTCCCCATTAACCCCTTCATTTCGGACTCTCTCTAGAGCGCCCTCTAGTGTTTAGCAAACCCGGAGGACATTAGAGTAGCGGGTCTCATCTCTACAGATCTGCTCAGAGCACCCGGCGTCCTTCATGGGGAAAAACGTCAGTGCGGCAAAACAGAGCGGTTAATACACGTTGCCAAGTAACGGTAAGGCGTCACGCGTCATTTCCTAGCAACAGACAGTAAACAAACGTGCGTAACTACGTGGTGACGTACTTGCAATAACGTGTGACTGCGAACTGCGCCTCCGTTAATAATTCGTTATAATTTTAAGGTAGATCAGCGACATAACGGTCCCGGCGCGACAAAAGCAATGTCCTCTTCGCTTTCCGCATTTAGCGACACCCCCATGGCCACAATAACCACGGAAGTGAAACTTTTGGCAGCGTTCAAGCGAGACTCCCACCACGACAAGGTTTACCTCGCGTGGAAGGGTGAGTCAGAACTGGATGACTCGTGAACGAATTGGTTCGTTTGAATTGGCTCTTTCCGATAAGCAGATTGAATCGATCAACCTCAATCGAACTTCGAATCACTCAGAATGAGGCGCGCTTTGTGCACTTGTGATGGGCAGTTCGATTCAGTTCACCGAACCGATTCTTTTGATCTACTGATTCTGTAGTGAGCTACCGATTCACAAGGGAATCAGAATCGCTTTATTTCGCTAAGTGTGTTACACATACAAGGAGTTTTGGTGAGTGTACACATGTATGACATGTAACATACTGAGCAGACCAGACAGCACACAGGCTATTAACACGAAATGAACCAGGAGAAAGGTGAGATAAAATACAAATAATAGAATATAGAATAAGGCATAATAATAAAAAACAGCCAATGTGAAAAGAGCTCAGAACATACATATGAGATGTGTGGGTATCTGTATGTATGCAGATATGATTGTCTGTACATATGCAGGTATATATATATATATGTTGTGTGTGTGTGTGTGTGTGTGTGTGTAGGTTAAATACCACAGTAGTTTAAATACCACAGACTAGATAGAATAACAGTACATTTTCAAACAATATGAGGAGAACTGAGATCCAGTACGCTACTTGTTGTAACCAAAGTTTTTAATCCAGATTTGAAAACATGCACCAACCTAGGCTTCCTAATATTATCTGGGATGCTATTCTGCAACTTTCTTGTATTCGAAACTTGGATTTCTGCCTTCTGGCGTCTGGCCATGTCTGATTAAAGCAACAGCCCTCAGCTGACCAGATAAAACAGAGCATCTTGTAGTGTAATCTGACACTGGAAGTGGCATTTCTCCGTAGTATTCCTAACAGCCTTTGAGGACGTAGCAGCCTACAAATGCAGCCCACCTAGTGCGCAGCCTAGCTTTTGGAACAACGGTTTTAGGCCATGAAACATTTTTAAACTCAAAACAAATTGCACACAGGCTGTGTTTTAACATATGCGGTGACCTGCTGATAATGAATAACAACATGAGATGCATAATCATCACACTTGCCAACCTTCAGACCTGAAAGACAGATTTTTCCAAACCGAAGCAGGGTCTGGAGGGTCAGAGACATTTGAATTTCAGAAATGTAGATTTCTGCATTCTGGTGACTTTTAATGCATGAAAATTAACAATACAGATTACGCCACGTCTGATCAAAGCAATAGCCCTAAGATGAACAGGTAAAACAGAGCACCATCTAGAGTAATGATTTGACACTGAAAGTGGTTTTACTCTGTAGGTACCTGGCTAGCTTTATGCTACTGAAGCCCTAAAGTTCCATTGTGGAGAAAAAAATTGCAACAACATTCAGTTCCCTTACAAAAGTTTTGCATTCCCTCGCAAACGTTTTGCGCTCCCCTTGCAAAATCCATTGTCTTTGCAAAGGAAGGCAAAATCATTGGGAGAGAATGGAAAATTATTGCAAGAGAACACAAAGCCTTTACCACATCCCCTTAGGGCATCCATATCATGCAGCAGGCTGTGATGATTAAAAAAAAGAAAGAAAATTAATCTGAAATATGGAGAAATACTGGAGAGTTATGTGCCTGGGACTAAATTTAAAATTAGGAAAGCTGGAATATGAACATGATTCACTCATAACACAATACAGGACACAGTACACTGTTACAAATAAAGGTTCTGTGCAGGTACATTTTTCATTCATCAAGGTACAAACAATGTAAATGTTCCCTCAAAGGTACAACAGTGGTTTTAAGGTCCAACTGTGAACCTTAAATAAGTTTCTCCAGATGAAAAGTACAGATTTTTCATAACCGACTGTTTTAAAACAGAACAGTGAAGACGAGACGGGGTGTGTGGAGTCAGTACAGCTTAGAAAATATCATTTCAGTGGATTATGGTACAATTATGTTCCCTGACTAAAGGTACTGAGATGTTCCCCTGAGGGTCCCACCCCAGTGACAGTTTACTACCTTTATTTGTGAGAGTGTAATATAAAAAAAACACAAAATATCAGAGTAATGTTGTGATTAACAATTCATCTGTGCTCTGTCAGCAAAATGGTACAGTACAGATACAGTTTTGTTTTATGAAGATACAGACAGTTTAATTGTACATTCAAATGTACAGCAGTGGTCTTTATGGTCTTTAATCATGTACCTGAAATGAATACACTACATTCACTGTCCCAGGCAAAAGGGCCATATTTGCACCTTTTCACAACCTAATGTTTTATAACAGATTCAACTGTGGATTCAACACAGTGTCTCCCTGTTGCTAAGCAACAGTAGCATCATAGCTGTCAGTCAGCTGAGCTAGCAAGCTGTCATTTTGACATACATGAAAAAACTGAACCACTACTTAACTTGCAAATGTGGTGCTGCTAACAAAAACAAGCTGAAATAAAAATAAGAAGCCTTTTAGGTTTGTTCTGATTTCGATCACCTCTGTTGCACCTTTGCCCTCCCTCAGAGAAGAGTCACAGTGTGATCACGAGTGACATGGAACAGTACATGATCACTTTTTTAATCGTGTGATATCACTTTTTTTTTTACATGTATGTGAAAAATAATGTGAATTGAAAACACACTTGATTATTCAACAGTGAAATTCATGTATTCTTTTTTTCTGTAGTGGTTTGACCTGATTGTTCAGCACAGAAGAAATGATAGGCTGCCTGACCATTTCTAGTTTAACTTTTTGAACTTAGGGAGTCTGGAGTGCATAAAACGCGAGGCACTCAGCGCAAAAACAGCTCGCACAATGCGTCTCTGCCATTGAAAACAATAGAAAAAAACACGAAACCGAGTACAGTGTAAACCCACAAAAGTGGGCATTAAGATGGTGTGTTTTCAAACTCTCTCAAGCTTCTTTTCATTGTCGTCCATAGAGCAACATGCACATTGACTAAAATAGCACTTTTTCAGCACACACGGTGCACTTCACGTGTTTAAAATGAAAAAAAACACCAAAAAAAAGGCCTCATTACAGCTGACCACCCTTCTAGCCCTCTAGCCTGCAACACAAAGACGAACACAATCTGAGCATTAAAAAAAGAGTTTTCTGTTTATTAATACACACCATATTCGTAACATTAAAACCACCTCTGGGTCATTCTACAGAAACATCCATTTTTGTGTCCCAAGCATTTACAGATATATTACACTTAAAAACATGTTAGGGTTACAATTTATTTATATTTTAAAATAAAACAAAAAGTTATTTTAACAACTCCACCTTCTTCAGCATCAATTTAGCAATATTGGTTTTTAAATCAATTATCTAGAATTCCAAGCACCACAGAAGAGCTCGCCCTCACAGTCATGTGTAAAGGGTGAGCCCAATTTTAACTACAATAATCTGTACATGACTGAAATATATTATTTAAACGACATAAAGAAAACAAATGCTGAATAAACATTGTAAAATATATAATGAAAGTTGTTGTCCCCAGGAGTCGTGTCACTGGTGTTACCGCGTAACAAAAAATCTCTTATTTTGAAATAAAAATCACTTGACTTCCTTTTACCTATTTTCTGAAGATCTCTGAAGAAAAGCACATGGTGAGTCACTGTGTCTTTTCAGTTATCAGACATTTTCTCATTTAGCTCATGATTTCATATGAAGCTTTTAGTTGAAGTCACTGGTGTGACCCACTTTATTCTTAGGTAATTGTGAAAAAATAGAAAACAAATGGATTAAATTGCATATTTTAGTGGACATTCCATGACTGACAACATGTGGTTTGATGCTCTGTAGCAGCCATTTTGTGAAATGCATTTTTCATCAAAAATGTACCTTTATGTGTAACACCAATGAGGACAGTGACACCTATGGAGAGATAGAAAAGTGGACGTTTCTGTAGAGTGACCCATCTACACTTTTTGTCCATGTTTTAATTACCACATATGATCACTTTGTAGTTCTACAATTACAGACTGTAGTCCATCTGTTTCTCTGCATACTTTGTTAGCCCCCTTTTACCCTGTTCTTCAGTGGTCACGACCCCCGCACACCACCACATGCATTTATCTTCTTGTCAATCAAATGCATTAACTCACTCTTAGGAAGCACGTCCTGCTTCTTTTTCAAGAACAAGATGTGGCGTCCTTCACGTTTATGAAGGCATGATCTGAACGCCCCCTAAGCAACCATTGTTACTTAGCAATGGATGGTCACTGGAATGATGCGAGTATGGTGAAGTAAACGTGCTGTTATCACGTCTAAGAACATTGGTAGAATGATTCTCAGCCAATCAGACTGTGTAGTTGGAATTACAGTTAGTATTTAGCCTGAATTTCCTTTGTGTTCACTTCTTACTGTATCTAGAGTACGTCGGCGAAGGTGGTCACGCTTCAGTGCTTCCTCTTATCTGGAAAATCAAGCAGCAGATTGGCGCCAACCCAACTCTTCATCCAGAATACCCATCTCCGTTGGGCCTTCAAGAATTCTCCAGGAGAGCTACGGAGCTGGCCTTAGGCAGGGACAGCAGTGCCCTTGTGGAAAACAGGGTGACCCTCTCCATTCTTTCTTCCAATAACCATCTAGTAGGCGTACTCTGTCTCTATGAAATATTACCATGTTTGTTGAAATTGCTTGTTAATCCACAACCTGGCCTGTCGTTGGTGGTGGCCTGGCAGCTGAATACACTGATAACACGGCAGAGATGCGGCACATACGACGTGTAGTTTGTTTACACAGGGGGGACGCCATGTGCCTTTGCCACTGACGTTAAATGTCACTTTGAGGCCTGCGGCTGGACGCAAACATTTACCCTTGTCACCTTCATTTATCTGCAGAAATCGAAGCGTAATGCCGCAGAAGAACGTGTCCTGATGACGCAAAATGCTGGATCGCCAACGATGGGAGATAACGTAGCTGAAAAGGGGTCATTTAACATCCATGTCATGTCATGGATGCTTAACTGTAGGCTCCGCTAGTTATGAGCTTTCATCCTCTCATGCCATGTCGAAGCGCGGCTTACTCCGAAAGCCACGGTGAAATCTCTTTGTTTGAATGCTGTACGGCTTCTGCACGGAGCATTTTACATTCACACCATGATCACTGGAGAGCCAGAAGGCCCTGAAGCTCGCTGCAGGCTAAACATTGTTTTAACACCTGTGTTTTCACTGCTGCCAGTCAGAGACGCTCGGTTAGGCAACCCGCAATTAAATCCCGCTATTCAAGACAGGCCATTTACTGAGTCAATGCCCATTTTTTAAATTTACATTTTTTAAAATGTAAATTTTTCTTTACTCAGGAAGTTCTGTTGAAATCGACCTTTTTCAAAGGCCTGACCAAGAAAGCCGCTCCGCAAAGGCAAACTTAAAGACATTAAACTACACTGAGCGGCAACCTGGGAAAAGACTTAACGAGAAACATCGGCTCAAAGAACAACAAAAATGGTTTCAGTTAATCAGGCTTACTGCATTCAGATGGAGTCATGATCTCATGTCACTTGAAACCATTAGACCACCTGCAACAAATTAGTCTTCAGTCTAAAAAACCTCTAAAGAAATAAGATCTTCTAAATATACAGAGTCCTGGGGATTTCACAGGGAAGAGATTGGAGGATCTTTTCTGAATCACCTTCTCCATTTATACAGAGGTCCCCAAAAGTATTTGGACGTTTGTGCCCTACTTAACAATATGTGAAGTTCATTGTGTTGGGAAGCAAATTGTCAAACCGAGTGGCATTCATTTGAGACGCACCATTCCAAGACTGTCGTTTTCTTTTCGGCAAAGTATTATTTCTGAAAGCAGCTGGTTTGTTTCAGATCACTGAGTGCGTTTACATGCACTTAATAATCCGATAACTGCAAAAAATCAGATCAGATTAATTTAGTCAGTAATCCGATCAACACGTTTACATGCACTTGAGTAATCAGATAATGGGTAAACTCTGGGTCTGCGTGAGTCAGGCAGTAATCAGATTTCTGTTTTTCAACCGGCCAATACATTTTACAGAAGAAGACACGACATAAATGTAATGTAAAACTCAAACTTCATGCCGCAGCTTTTTTTTAAAAAAAAAAACATTGCGCCACTTTATCTGAAAATATGAACATACATCATCTAGAAGATAAGGAATATTCAAATCCTTCATTTCGTTAAGCATGTATTTGGTTTCAGTGTCACTCCAAAAGTGTTTTGCTGTGACTCGCGGCAACGCTGCTTGCTTATTTCCGGTACTGGGGTCTGTTTTGGCACATGAGTAGACTGAAAAATCCGAAAGAAATCAGAGTAAGAGTTTACATGCACTGAGAAATCTGGTTACTGAGCTCAATAACTCTTTTTATCGGATTTCTTAATCGGATTTCTAGACCTTACTCGGATCTAAGAAATCGGAGTATGCTGTTTACATGACCATTTGAATAATCAGAGAACTGCAGAAATCCGATTATGATCAGATTTTTGAGTGCATGTAAACACACTCGCTGTCATTTCTGCAATTTACTTCTGCAGCTTTACATCCAAAATGTCCTAGAAAAACAGCCAGAGACTTTGACGTTTCTACCTCTGTACTTCACAGAGCTCTTAGTGCAGTCTGATTGGAGTTCTTCTCCAGGCTTTTTCCACAAAGGTCAGTTTGATGTTGCACTAAAAGCGTTTTTCTCCGAAACAAATATAATTTTTTCAAACAGTTTAGGAAGTAACCTAAAGTTTGCCAATGGTGTCCAAATATTTTTGGGGGCCACTGTAAGGAATGCTGAAAATATATCTAGGTTGTAAGTGGAAGGTAGATAGAGGCCATAATAATAGGATATAGTATGTAATGGAAGGCCACAGAAACACTGTAACTCATAAAGCACTTGAAAAATATATTTTAGACAACAAATATGTCACTGCTGTCGGAACAAAACCTCGTATCTCCATTTTTGTCTTCATTTGAAAATGCAGTGTGAGGCCCTTTACATTGTGTATATATTTCATGATGAATGGACCAACAGGACTTGGAAAAGGAACAGGAAAAGTCTGGTTCCATTGCCTTACATTAAAAGTAAAGTATGTTTTTTCTTTCTCCCGTAAAGTTACCATTTTGGAGATATGAGGTTTTGTTCCGACAGCAGTGATATATTTTTGTTTCATAGATCTAGTCCACAGGTAACCCTGTGCTACAGACTACATGTTTTTGTAGTAGCCCAGCACAATACACCTCCTGATCATTCAGCTCTCTGTTTGATGAATTCATTAGGAGAGCTTTGCAGGAATACACAAAAACATGTTGTGCAAGAGGAACATGCAGGATCGTACAACGTAGTGTTGTAGGATCTGATATAAGAAGAACTATCCAAGCTACTGAGAGAAAAGAGCAGTGGTACCTCAACCAGTTATAAAAAAGTATTTGAGTATATGCGAATACTAATTTTATTTTTATTAGAGGATTTTTTTTATTTATCTCTGAAAAAAAAGGGCACCTCTGGTCAAATTACATGTTTTTTTTTTCTCAAATACTCAAATATGGTGGTTTTCTGCAAATTTTAGTGCACAATTTCTATTTATTGTACATAAAACATAAGCTGTAAAATGTGCCATGACTTTTGTACAGGCGACAACATGTTAACTTATTTTCACTTAAAGATGAGATGTGGAGTTAAGTTTTGTGGACCAATGAGCAGAAATATACTAGTGAGATTACTCGGGTGAAGCAGAAAATGCTGTTCTGACCCGAATCTGACCAATCAATGTATGAGGCTTTGGAAATATCCAGAGAAAGAATCAAAATGTGGCCTGTCCATCATAGGTGGTGTAAGTCAGCGGGGGATGTGTGGAGATATTGTAATTGACCAGGTTTCTGGTCTTGTTGTTGGTTCTCTCTCTGAAGGTTGTCGGTGTGCAGACGGTGGGCACAGCTGGCGCAGTGCGTCTGGGAGCTGAGTTACTGAAGCACTGCTGCTGCACCAGCTCATCCTGGAATGGTCCTGTTCTTCTCTCCTCTCCGTGTGATGGTGGGTTGTGTGGCACTAGTATGGAACACATGTAAAACTTAAACTTAAATTCAGCAAATAAGCAGTAATTGTGCATTAAGACATGCAGAACTGTGTCTCTGTAGAGGATGTGTTCACTTATTTTCACTTAGAAAATCTACAAAACATGTCATTTAACCAGGAGCGCCCAAACTTTTGCATACATCAGTATAGTAACTGCATAAACTATGCAGCAGCTGATCATTTATTGATGTGTTCATTTTGTTACTTTTTATTTCCCTCATATTGTTAAATAGCTTATTTTTGCAGGCATGAATTTAAAAAGGCTCGTGTGCTTTATGTTTTACAGAAACATTACCGGGCACCTTTGAGGCAGCAGGAATCAGAGACGTCCAGCACTACCGATACTGGGATGGTGAACATCGTGGGGTGTCCATGGAGAAGATGCTGGAGGACTTGGAGAAGGCCCCAGAACAAAGTGTGGTGGTCCTGTATGCAGCGGGACACTATCCTACTGGAGCTGATCTTTCACAGGAGGAATGGAAAGGAGTGATTGACGTCCTGGTGGTACAGTTTCAAAATCACGCTGTCTAATCTACACATAGAGGAAGAAGTTGAACATTAGGGGCTCTCTGCTCAACAGTGCTCTCTGCTGGACAGTTTCAGTTAATCACAACTTTTTAACTTCTAAACTGTAGGCATATTATTTAAATATTAATCTTAAGGCTTATTATCTGGCAACTCTTATGAATTGCTGAGCTGTTCATTAACAATGAACTATGAAAGTAATGTAGTTATGGAGTGAGAAATGAATGTCTTTGACTTGAAGGAGTTTTAAGAGATTGAAATTAGTATTCAAATCCAATTTCACCCACGCAAAATGCAGCATTGCTTCTAATACATAGATAAAAACACTGCACTAGAGTGCTGTGTAAAAGTCAGAGAGCAGCCTCCACTTATTTAATTTCCAGTCAAAACAGCCATTAAGTATGTTATTTCTAAGGAGATTAGATAATCCACTTTCATAAAGAAGGAGAACATTAAATGAAAAACAAGAGTTCAACTTTTGAACTGGTGTTCAAAAATAGATTGAAAGATACTCCTAACAACCGGGTAAGACCTGGAAGACCACCATGAGATAAACAGTGCTTAAAGCCTTCATATTTGAGAAATATTAACAAGACCTGTATTTATAAAGCACTTTTCACACCTGTGGAAGCTCAAAATTCTTTACATACAGGTGATAAAGTTTAAATTCAGTTTGATTTTCTTCTATTATACTTACTGCTCAGTAACAGCACTATAAGTGGGAGAGGAGAAAATTAATAAATAAGAGTTAATAGTATTTACTTAGAGTCAGATGAAGAATGGCAGGTCAAACTAGAAAGATAAAAACAAAAAGAGGAGGTGGAAATTTAAAAAAAGCTAAATTAAGAGATAATAAATAAATCAATCTCCACTTTTACTTCAGATCTGAAAAAATCCACAGGTGTTTCTGTCCATCCTTCCACTGTGAGAAGACGACTCAGCGCTGTGGGTCTGAAAGGATGAGCCGCTGACATGTTTCAAATATGATTAAAAAAAAGAAGAAAATTTGCAAATCAAATAAAAATGATGCTGGTGTTCTCAGAACAATGGACCGACCGGCCCAGACCTCAATGTCACTGAATGTGAAAATGCAAGTTCAAAGACTAAACTTTTGTGGAAAAATGAAAAAAATCAATCTACAGCGATCTTATATTTGTTGAAAATTCTGTGGAATTTTCTGTTAAATATGGTTTTCTTGACACTGAAAAATAATAACTTTGAACTTAATGGCCATTTTGACTGGAAATGACATACATGAAGGGTTATCTCTGACTTTTACACATTGACAACATTTTATCAGATGTGTTTTGAGTCTTCTGGATGCCCTGGCATAATTGAGATTGATAGTGTTAAAATTTTAATAAATTTTTAATTATATTTTCAAACAGGTATGCAACGATTATTCGACTTAGTTTACTAAAACTGACGACCAAATTAGTTGGCAACTAATTTAATAGTCGATTAGTTGGTGACGTCATCACGCATGTTTCTTGGGACTAACTAACGAGGAATGTTTTGACGTTACCGCTTACTGAGATTTAACGGAAGTGTGATGGCAGCCTCAAGAACAAAATCCTCAAAGTGTGGGAGCTAAACTCAGAAAAAGGGTTGTCAGTTGTGCTATTTGTAAAGTCGACCTTAGCATTAGCGACGAAGAGAAACACATCGGCCCACTGGATGAAGAAGATTCATCTCGATAAGCTGGCTGTGTTAGCCAGCTAGTTGGCTAATGTTAGTGTTAAAAGCCCGTCTTACTTCATGTTACCAGCTGTAACATCTACTTTGAGATGCATGTTCTCTTGAATCGTTAATGAGTTTGAATGGAGAAGCAAGTAACTGTTATTCACAACGACATTTTTCACATTTCAAATAATGTTTTTAAACACTGCATTGTTGTCTTAAGGTCAAGACCACCCATGCATTCATATTCCCCGTTAATATCTGTTTGCAGAGCCACAGTTTCACGCCAGTAGATTCAAGCCAGTGGCATTCAGCGCATGCGCCGACACTTGTCGTTTTAGGTGGATTTCCAATAAATGTATGTTGGGAATACGTATATATTTTAAGCTTTAGGCTAAAAAAACTTTGGTTTTAACGCATGTAGAGATTCACAGAGTAAATATTATAGAAACTACAGCTTATGTGGCCTAGGAAAGCTAATGGGTTATGCAGACACATAGCTCAATTAACTTACCCTTAATATGGGGGTTTTATGTGTACACTTACATTAGATGTGCTGGAACAAAACTTTACCTCAAGCAGGCTTACATTGGGCATAATATTAAGCTTTAGGCTAAAACACAAACTTTAGCTTCTGTGGCCTGGATAAGCTAATGGGTTATGTAGACACGCCAAAATCGAACATGAGTAACGTTATAGCTAATGATCTACGGAATAAAATGGGCAACATCGTTCGTATATTGGCAACGATATCCCTTCCTAAATGTTAATATACGTGGCAACACCTGGAATCAGGAAAAAGATTTTGGAGGTTTATTCTCTGTATTCGAAGGAAAGTTCATTAAAACAGTGAATTTCTGAGTAAGTTATTTACCTTTATTGTCTTCATTGTTGGTTAGCAAATGCAAAGAGAACCTCAAGCTAAATTTAAAAGCTGTTAACTATGTAAGACATATTTTGTAACGATTCATAATCTGAATAATCGATTATTCTTTTCAATAATCGATAGATTATTCAACTATCAAACTAGTCGTTTGTTGCAGCCCTATTCCCAAACCTTATTGTACCACCCAAACTGGTGAACTGTAAACTGTTAATTGTAAGCTGTAATGCTCTTTCACTGCTGTCCAGTGTAGACAGGTGTCTACACGGCAGCACTGATGGGCTTTTGCCCTGCACGGGTTGGCACATCTGACTGAGGACATGAAGAGCTTGATAATGAGCTGATGAGATGAATCAGGAGTGTCAGATCCGGGAAAAGAGAAAGCTGCGTGAAACGCCTGCCTCCAGGATTGGAACTGCAATGCCTGCTAGAGAAAGCTATAGGGTCAGGGGCCTTAGGTAGATTCATCATGAATGTTTTATCAGCTGATTTAATCATTGATGTTTCACCCCTTACGCTTCCTCTCTGTCTCTGTCTGTCAGAGGCGTCGGCTCCTGCCATTCTTCCTGCTGCCTGCTCAGGGCTTGTGCAGTGGGGACGTGGAGCTGGATTCATGGGCTTTGAGATATTGTGTGTCTCTGGGGCTGGAGCTGCTGTGTGCTCAGTCTTTCTCCCACGGTTTCGGCCTCTACGGTAAGAGCATTTACATGCAGGAAATATGGCATCACACAGTTGCAAAGTGCTGGTACCAAGCAAGCGGCGTGCTGCATGCATTAAATTCTGGGAGCTCTGAATTTTTCTAGCTGAGAGCATTCACACAGCCTCGACTGTTTGAGATTGGGGGAAAAACAGATGCTCGCAGTAAGCTGGTTTGGCGTCTGTGTGCACATGAAATGCTTTTAAAAAGCTTTTACACTGGAATGAAAGTATTCTTTAGTTTGTGCCTTATTTTAAAAGTGGATATAGCAATCTACCATAAATATTGCTGAAACTAACAAAATCTAACAAAATCTTAATGATTTAACACTCCAGTTTTCCAAGTATATCTATTTTTACCGAAATCCCACACAGTAGCATATCATAGAATTGCCTAAGAAGTCTGCACTCTTGAGAAACTCTAGAAACTCTGACTTTCCAAGTGGAAATTAGTAGGGATTTTTCCCACTTCCAAGTCAAAACGTCCCACTTTAAAGTTTGACAGTATTGGCAAGGTTTTTTTTGTTATAGTAGTAAGTGCATCACACTGTTTCCTCTCACATCCTCAGGAGAAAGAGTGAGCCACCTGCTCTGCGTTCTAAAGGAGAACTCCAACCTGCTGGCTGTCCAGTCGCAGGCAGAGAAGATCGTTCAAACGCTTTGGTCCCGACCACCAGTAGGAGGCGCCAGAGTGGTGACCACAGTGCTTAGCAATCCTGCTCACCTAGTTGAATGGTAAGCCAGTGAGTTCTGTTTGATTAGAAGCATTTTTAAATAATGGAAATCATAATTTTAATAATAGGATTAACTAGACAAAAATGATATTTACATGTGGTGAAAAGTAAGAACAAAATTTATTTGAAATGGGTGTTACTACTATTGCTTTTTCAGCTATACAGTACTATATGTCAATATAATACAGTACTGTGCAAAAGTTTTAGGCACCTGAGAAGATTACTGTTAAAAACATATTAATCTGGGCGATAAGCATTTATTTACTTAGATGGACACAGATATTAGAATAAATACAAACAATATAATTACAGTTAGTAGTGATTTTCAGATTTTATGTATGTCAGTCTGTACTTTTACCCATTTCTAAATCTCTCCTTATGCCTAAAGCCCCCTAAAACTGGCCTAGCGATGCTCCTGCAGCCCGGTATTAGTTGTGGTTGTAATCGAATACGTAGTTTGGCTAATCAGTACTTCATTATGTAAATCATGTGTACTTCTGATTGAATTTAACAAATCTCTGTGACAGCTGGGGATGTCCAGGAGAAATCTGGAACCAAACTTTGTTCTTCAAACTAACTCACAAGATATCAACTATTTTTTAAAAATAAATAATTAGTGTTGAACATGAGCACATTGCCAAGAACGCATTGTTAAGGACGTGACTGAGAAGGCAGAGACAGGCACTGTATCACTGACTACTCTAGCTGATGTTAGCTAGGTCCAGAAACAGTGGAAATATATTTCTCTGACAAACGAACGTGTTGGAACATCATCCACTGAGGAGAAAAGGCCTTGTGAAGTCCTCAGCATCATACAGTGTGACACTTGTTCTTTCAGCTCATTAGCTCATCTGAAGAGGCAGAGTCTGTTACTCATCAAAAACAAAAACCTACCAATTTCTCTCAAAATAATAACAATATTTTCAGTCAAAAGTGTCAAAATTAGTCGGAATGCTTATCCCTATGCGTGACTAAAGAAGCAAACTAATCATGCATTTGCTGATCAGCTACATCTGGGATAAGGTAAAAGATGTGTTGATTACATTTTTCACCGAACTGTTCCTTTAACCCTTGTGTGGTGTTGATATGTTTGTCACTCAGTGGTCTGGTGGAGCCACAGCATTATTGTTTTTTTTTTTATTAATATAGCCATAACTATTTATGTAAACACACCAGATGTTTAAAATATCACAAGTGGCCAGCGTAGGGTTCTCCTTTAGCAGCTGTAGCCTGTCAGCAGCCTGTCCATTTTGTCCTGTTTCACACACCCATATACAAACACATACACACACACAGAAGGCCATGTAGGAGGATAACAGAGTGAAGGACACAGCACCTCCACACTTTTATTCCTCGCAAGTTCACCCAACACCACATGTGTAATATAAATGTGTAGGGGGTGAACAGAGTGAAGGCACTGAAAGACAGGTTATTTTATATGTTCTTCACAGAAAATGAGCAAGGGCCAAGGAATCGGAGGTTGAAATAATAATAAATTGCATCAATTTTTCTTTTGGTTAACATTGAAAATGTGTCCCACAGACACGAAAACCACACAAGGGATAAATTGTCCACTTTCCACACACTCTTACATATTAATTCAAGTAACTACTGAGGGCTAATCCAAATGACTATGGAAATATACGGGTTATATAGCTGCATACATATCTCCAAGCTGATTAAGGCAGCAACCGTTCTTATGTGCAAATGGCTTCATACATTATTGAGTCAGTGATTTCAAATGGTCATTTCAGGCAGGAGGGGTTGAAGGGCACAGTGGAGAGATGCATGCTGATGCGAGAACGTCTCAGAGAAAAGCTGCGCCTGCTTGGAAGCCCAGGCAGCTGGGAACACTTGATAAAGCCAGGAGGACTCTTCTGCTGCATTGGACTTACTGGTAAGAAGTGTATGGCCCAACTGCAAAAGATGCTTAGCGGAGTAGTAAATATGTTTATTTAAGCTTTCGTGAAAATGGTTTTGGCTCCCACTGTTTGGTGGCAACTCTGACAGTCAGGACCAATGAAATGGCTCAGTAGCTTTGAAGAGAAGCCATGGAAGTATGGAATATTTGAGTTTTCTACACAACATTTAGTTCTGACCTTGCAATCTGATTGGTTGAGAAGTGTTCAATCTTGTGTGGTTGTATCTGATAACTGCACACAAATTCACTGTACCTTTATCTTTCCACTGACCACTGGTTGTAAAAACAGTAGTCACTGTCCTCTAAGCTGCTGTTAGCCGTTAACCATACACCATAAAAATAAAGGTGCAGAAGGATTCTCTGGAGTGATGACACAGAAGAACCACTTTTGGTTCCCTAAAGAACCTTTCACTTGAGGTTGTTATATAACCATCTACTGAATCGGGGCTGCACATAGACTTTTTGAGCAGGTTGTTAGGAAATCTGCGGGTGTTTTAGCATAAATTAAAATACATTCTAATTAAATTATGAAATAAAACTATGTAATCATTCTTCTAAAATATTAATAGTGGAACGGTTTGCTGTTTTAACTGTGAAAAAAGCAGAAGCAGCAAAAGCTTTGATCTTGTTCAGAATTTTGTTCAAATATATAGAAATCTGTTTTCTCCACAAAAAGTAAGATTTATTAGCAGTTTGTGCACCATTAACAAAGATGAAACCCATGTATGAACCACACCAGCAGGATTTTGCGTGTGGATGCCGTCACAGATTTCGAAACAGGAAGCGAAATGGTTTTACGTAAAGGTAAGGCTGAATGTTATTTAATATGTGAGTTAATCACATATTGAATCAATCAGAATCTTTAATCAAGTAATGGGAAAAAAGGAATGTATGCTGAATTAGATGATGTTTTTGGGCTGACTAACTTTTTTCAGCTAGCAAATTTCAAAATCCCAAAGCACATCTGGCTTTACATCTAAAATAACAGCTCCAAACTGAACAACCTTTGCACATTTTGTACATCAAGAGACATTTTGTTTACAGACATTTGGATTCATTCTGTAGTGTCCAAATTACCTAATGGACTACAGTTACCATAAACACAAGAAATTAACTTGCAAAGCAATTTGCATGGCTATGGTTGAGGAGATGGCTTGGGCCTTTGGGAAATGTTGTTCATAACAAAGAAAATATTACATTATTGACTATATTTGCTGTAAGCACTAGGATTTGACAACATATTTGAGGGGATATATGTAAACTACATATATAAGACGATGTTTTCCAAACCCCAAATCCCTCTGCCTTGAATAACTGTATGTTTCTCCTGATCTAAAACACCTGATTCATATCAACAGCTAATTGTAAACCCCTTCTTCCTTTTGCGTCACTTGTTCCAAACAACCTTTTTCACATTTTTATTTTTAAGAGTGTAATTCCACTTTTGGTGGAACTACTTTTTTGGAGGGGAAGATGAATTGCAATATTGAAAAAGGTTTCAGTAGAACACTCAAGGCTACGTGTTATCACAAATAACATCAAGGCCGTGATGATCTACAGCGGTCAAATCACAGCTGTGACATTTTTCATGCTTACACACTCGTCTTTTATGTCTTAAATGAACTATGAAACGAGACAGTCTTGATGTCAGAGGAGCCATCATGTGCGCTGACAGAATATGTACTCAACTAAAATTTGCTCTTTACAGAAAGGCCTCGTCCGTGCCTCGAGAAATGCCTCATCCATAATGCCGAACGGAAATGCGGTCTTCCATTTTTTCTCAAAATAACACGCACATGTGTAACGATTGCTTCTCTCTCAGTTGTGAGCTGTTTGTGACATTTAAATCAACTCTTAAAGGTGAGCTTTTATACATGTGCTTATGAGTTATTCCATAGCATTTACTTGGAAAAATATTCTTGGACTATTTTTGTTCCTTTTCAGGGTGATTTATCTGCTTTTTTACTACTGTTAATACATAAAAAAAGGAAATTTGCAAATATTCCAACCCATCTTAATATTTACAAGAAAGCAAGCACATTTTAGCTATTTAATCGGAGAATGTGAAAGAATGTTCTCTTTTCAAGCTGTTAGTGCCCTTTAAAAACCGTATCCATCATGAAAAAAGCCTCTCCGCTTTCGCTCACGTTATCTTAGTGTGTCATAAATGCGGAGTTTGATGCTTTTGAACTCTAAAACCTGAAATGTCACTTGACTTCTGATCTGCATTTTGAATTTCCACTAATGAATGTGTGAAAGCAGTCACGTTGTCTTACAAGCGCATGGAAATTGTGCCCATCTGACATCGGTAACAGAGCATAAAATTAAAAAATAATTGAGCTGAATTAATTTGCTCTCTCTCTCTCTGTGGTTTTGTAATATGCACACTTACAAAAGCAGTGACTTCACATTCCCAAATAGTGAACGTGGACTTCACATCAGTGACTCATCTTGTGGGAAGACGATGATTACAAAATGAGATCACATTAGGTCAATGGATAAATGGACGTTACTCAGCATTTAATTCATTTTGTTCATTAGTTCAACAGGTTGAGTTCCTGCTGAAGCGGAGACACGTTTACGTGTTACCGGGCGGCTGTTTGAATGTGAGTGCCATCAACAGCCGCAATCTCGACTACGTGACCGAATCCATTCATCTGGCACTGACCTCACAACCCTGAACTTGGATGGCGTCACGCAGCGCAGATGGATCTTTCTGCTCAATTTCTGCTGTGCTGCTTAATCATAGAGTCACATACATAGAAGTCAACAGATAAGATAGCGCATCTATATGAAATACATACTCACAGACCACTTTATTAGATCTGACCACTTTATATATGGCCTCATTTGTAAATGATGAAGTCCTGGAACACTACAGTGATGGATCTGGCAGGTCGATGGGCCAGGGAGAGGTCCCAGTAACAAGCATGCTGCCTTACCTTTTGGTGAATTTAGAACGCTGGTGGTTTATGCAACTGGGCCACATAGTGACACCTGCAGAACATAATGGAACTACAAGCTACACTGGCTCAAAACTAAATGGGTTTATTAAGCTGTGTAGGGTTTGTGCCTCTTTTCAGCCACATAAAATCAGTTCATAATACACCAACCCAGGTCAGGTACTCCAGGAGGCATCCACTGCTTGAAACAGGGTGTTTACACATCTGAACAACATTGTTAGTACTCCCTTGAGTTTTTTGGAAGTAAGTTAAAACGTGAAAAAATATACATGCAAGTTGTGTAGAAGTTATGACTGATGTTTTGTACTTTCACCATTTTTTTCATAATTTCTCCATAATTCAGCTGTTGAAATGTAGTCATTCAGAGTGATAAACAGCGCCTGTGTTGTTTTTATCACCATTTCTTTCCTGTGTGCCCAAACAGTAGTGAAAGTACAAGCATGCCTTGGGACAAGATGACATAGCATGCTATTTATAATGAACTTTTCCTCATTTTGCTTTGTTGTATATGTTCAGTTATTAATAATATACATATTTTTTTTTCATACTTCTCTATAGATCATCATATGAAAATATTCAAAATGCTGACCAGGTGCCTGATCCACTAAATCTTGTGCTGATGTTCTGACAGTTTGTCCTACCTATCGAGTGGTCCTACTGAGCATGCGCACATCATTACTATATTGTAGTAACTTCATGTTTCAAACGTTTCATTGTGTTTATCATGTTAATTCAGTAGACTCAGTTTCATATTATTACCTACTCCCTGATAAGGTGATTTAGGTGATCACAATATTCTAATTATTCTTTCAATGCTAACATTTTTCTTAATGAATACTTTAGTATTTTATTTTGTTGTTGAAAATTAAAACATACAATTAAATGATATATATAATATAGTCACTGACAAATATATAGTATTTACTTACAAAATTGAAAAAAGAAAAAAAAAAAACACTGACATTTGCTTCTAGGCTCAGATTACAGCATGTCTATAATACTGAATTAAAAGTCTTTAACTTGCTGATAGCCAGTTGGTAAAGGGACTCCATGTAAGCATATAATGATCAAGTCTGTTCAGTAAAGAGTATGTTACTCTCTCAAAAGCTGCCAGCTGTGCCATTGTTGTAGTCCATTCTTCATAAGGAGGCGGACAACTCTTCCTCCAGTGTCTCAAAAGTATCCGCTTAGCTGTAAGAGCCAAAATAATCCATCTCTTTTCAAAGAAAGAGAGGTCAAAGTCTAAAATAGACAGTTTTGCAGAGATTTGGAACCTTTTGTTTAGTACTTCAAACATAATCTCTTAAATATTATTCCACCAGTCCTTAAGTGCTGGACAAGACCAGAGTACATTCAGAATGGAGGCACCACCTCCTTCACATCTCCAACAGGAATCTACTGGCATCAGGTTCCATTTATATAATTGATAATGCTAACTTTTTCTGGTAAGGAGATTTAGGCTATCAAATTACCCTACCTATAGATTTCAGTGCTGGTAACGTTTTCTGATGGAGTCATTTAGGCCATCAAATTATCCTACCTACACTTTTACATAGAGCATTCCACCCAAACATATGTGGTACAGTAGGACATTTTGACAAGGTATCACAATTTGTTAGAACACCAGCTCCAATCTGTGAGGAGCCGGATCAGGACCTGGCTGGTTCAGGCGCAAATAAAGCCCTCGTAATTACTCCACATAATATAGGAAAATATTTAATAATTCAGTTAATAATTGAAATAGCTAGTTAATGCAAACAGGAAAGAATGGAAACGTTATACAGAGCACAAACCTTCAACAGCAGGCAGCAGAAAGCTACAGCAACATGGGCTTAAATTAGATGGCATGACGGAGAAGCTAAAAAACCATGTATGGTTTGCTGTGAGTTCTTCAATAATGGAGCCTTAAAAGGAGCTTTAGAAACCCAGCATGCAGCTTTAAAGATAAGCCTTTTAGTCAACACAAATTACAGCATAGAGCTCCAGCAGCCAGACCCGTCCCTCTCATTAAAGATAAAGGCATCTTTGCACTGTGAGGCTACTATACAAAGCCGTGGCATAGCTTCCTGTTGATTATGCAGATGTTCTAAATGGGGAGCACAATCAGAGCTTTCACTCCTAACATACAGTCAACAGTCAGTAGATTTATCTGTATTTGTGTTGTGGTTTTGTGACGTAAGGAAAACATTTGAGCCAGCTAAGTACTGCATTTGGACGATATATCTTGCTTGTTAGCTGTTGTCCATTGCAAGTTTGGCTGATATTTTTATGGACTGTTAGAATCATGTTAGTACGCAAAGGCATGGTTATTCAAATCTATAGATATCTGACCTCATCTTAGTATTTACTTAATCAAATAATGAATGTGTAGTTTAGAAATCCATGTATGATGTAGTTTTTATATAAACTAAACATAACGTCCACTGTTACTATGGGCTAATCGATGTGAAAAAAATCATAAGCAGCTAAGAAAATTATTTAAATGTGCGCAGTTAATGTGATGTTAGTAAACACCGTATAATATTAGGGTAAATCTGGGCTGTGAGACCAATTCTGTGAGAAACTTCGTTACTGTGGGCAGGGTGCAAAATACAGGGGGTCCTTGGGGGTCCCTGAAAATAAACTTATTATGGTGTTATGCTGTTCCATCAGGGGTCAAACGGATGCTCAAATACAAATTCAGGTAAAGGTTATTGTTTAGCTGCTTCTCTGGTATTCTTAACTAACTACAGCTGCAGCACCGGTCTGCCTCAGGGTGGCACTGAAGTAGACTGGTTCATCCATTTGGTCCTTCATGAGCTCTGAAAAATATGACGAAAAATACTTGTAAATAAAAAAAAGTTGACTGGATTTCCCAAGAGTTTGGTGGAAGGAGTGAATTGTTGCTCATTTCTCAAACCGAAGACAAAAGAGATAGGATCTTTATTAAACGTATGGAGGGCTGCATTACCAAACTACAAAAAGAGCAAGAAGAATTGTTAAACCCAACAGTTTGTTGCCATTAAAGCTACCAGCAGCACCATTATGGGGAGGGAGTTAACAGCCAGCCAATGCTGGAGTAGCCAGACAAAATGGGACCCCCTGAATACCAGGGGATATTTTGTACATTGACTGTAGGCCTTCTGGAAGTCCCAGGTATGTCATTGACTGAATACCAGCTGAAGCCTAATCAATGATTGGTAGAAACAGAAAACAGTTGCTGAGCTGTACACGAGAGCTCACTACTGAAGCACTCAATGTGAATCTGATTCAATGCTAATATGTCTGTTACAAGCTTCAGATTTGAATTTTCCATTCCACCTTAAATGCTGCAGCAGTTACATTTCGATGCATGCCAAAATGGGGCAGAATGTAATTGCTGCACCATTTAAGGCGGAATGGAAAATTCTAATAAGAAGCTAACTTCAGACTCATCAGTAATTGTCAATGAAAATCGCTGCTAGCTTAGCGCTAACAAACTACTAGAATAGTGATGCTAGCAGAAGTTAGCATTAACACTGAGGTGGATTTTTTGTTCGCCAGCCTCTTGTTTGAATTTTTCCAGTCCACCCTAAATGGTGCAGCAGTTACATTCTGCATTCTTACATTTAAGGTGGAAGAGAAAAATTCAAACAACATGCTAGCAAACAAGAATCTAACTTCAGTCTTGTAAAAAATCGAACATTGAGAGACATATGTAAGAATACTATTCTACTTTATAAGAAACTTTTCTACTTTTGAGGAAAAGTTTCCTGCCAGAGATGCGAGAAAATCGGCTATAGCTGAGCTAAAACTTAAAGCTTAGCAAAGTAAGTCTGCGTTTTTTGTTCACATTATATTGTTGAGTCTATACTAGCACATACTGAGACATATTTACAGCCAAGATGGTAAAACGCATCAATAAAATGGACATAAAATGTGGTGGTTTGATTTTTGTTGAAAGGACAAAATGGCTTTTCTTAACACCTGGGTTGCCGACCCCTGGGCTAGATGGTTCAACTCCTCCATGTTTATAGCCTCTTGTTCTCATACTGTTATGTTACATCTTGTTTTGAGGTAGTAAAATGAGTAAAATACATATATTTCAGCCTGGTAACCCAGCGTCACCTAAACATCTGTCCAGTGGCGATAATTTTTTGGAGCAATTATCTGATAATACCAGTATGATTCCAATATCATCGTACATCCCTGATAATTTTGTTAACAGAATAAACACTGTCTCTGATATAGCATTGGAGATTTATGAGGAAACTGAACATGTTTATCCTGCATTAGAATTGCCTCTGAGATGAACTGGCAGTACTTTTTTGCTTTCATACCTATTTTTTAAAGTTTATTTGTATGTAGCTTTGCTTTTGTAATGCGATTGGTATTGGTACACAAATACTTCTTGAGAAGTTTGCATCATAAAAAGTCTGAGCCATTGCTCTAGGACAGATTATGTTTAATATTATGTTACATTAATTAATTGTTTACATATTTATATCTGTCTGTTTTATTGTACAAAAGCTGAGTTAATTATAGGCTATGTATATGCATTAATTCAACATACACAAATTAATTAAAAAATGCTGAGAATAAAACTCTTCTCAGAACATACAATGCAGTCTGTAAATATTTGGACAATGATGCAAGGTTAGATTGGCTCTGCATATTGGATGTGAGATGAAATAATGACTATGGTGCATAATGTCGGTTTAATTTAAGGGAATTTATGTCTATACTGGGTCAACTTTCTA